TTCACTCATTCACTCATTCACTCATTCACTCATTCACTCATTCACTCGATGAGGACATCACTGGGTAGGCCACCCCTGATTGCCCAGAGGGCGGTTAAGAGTCAGCCACATTGCTGTGGGTCTGGAGTCACATGTAGGCCACTGCCAAAAGTTGTCAGCTTTCTTCCCTGAAGGGCTGTAAAGTGAACCAGATGGGTTTTTACAGCATTCAACAATGGTTTTGCCTGGCATCATTAGATTTTCAAATTCCAGATTTTTATTGAATTCAAAATCCACTATCTGCTTTGGCCAGATTCCAAACTAGTTGCCGGAAAATTACCTGTTTCTCTGGATTAACAGTCTAGCGATAATACCACAGGGCCATCACCTCCCCATTTGTCTCTCTCCATAGCTTAGGATTTATGTGATGTGGTTTGTTCTCTTTAGCATTGAAGTTCAAGGGCTTTTTTTATTGCTGACAATGCTGCTATGTCAGTGTGTTTGAATTGTCTTACTCATCAGTTTTTTTTTCCAATAAAGGGAAGTGCATCATAGGAAATAGGGCTACATCTGTTCTCCAACTCCAGAACAAAGGAAGTGTCTGTGATGATGCAGACACTTAGAAATCTGGCCGTCTGCCTCAAATGAAAACAGCTGTCCAATATAAGCTATTTTGGCTTCTCTACATTAATGTCCCCTAGATTAGGCTATTTTTAGCCTTATATGAGAAAGAGAATGCTTTGGAACACTGTGCAAAGATAAAATCATCTAGGTGGAAGTTTGAGCTGAGTTCATTTTAAGTGTAATTCTTGCGCAGTTATGGAAATTTTCTGAATTCTGTCTTCCTTTTTCATTATCTTTCATCTTGTAACCAAGAGAGCACAATTAAATGTTTGCCTTTATAAACAATTCACCAATGGGTCTCTTCCTTCCTCCAGCCCCAAATACACACCCATGAGTGCATTTTCCCCTTATTCCCATCCACAAGATATTTGAACCTGAAATTGTCATTTTGCATTCAGAATATTCATTTATGTTAATTTATGTACAGCTTGCCTCTGTCAGTCTTTGTTCACCTATTTGTTTCTTAAAAATCAACTTTATTGACTGACCAGACCAACTATAGTCCAGAAACTGCTACCAGGAGTTTACATACAGGTACACAGAAATAACTGAAGAAACCTGATATTGCAGGATTTTAATCCTAGTATTTTTAAGTTTGTGATTTTATAATTTTTGACTATTAACCCATTGCCTTTATTTCTTATCAGGTAAATATGCTGAGGATATCTTTGGTGAGCTATTTAGAGAAGCAGGTAGTTTTGCTATTAGAGTAAACAGCCTTGGAGAGCGGATTGACCGTTTGCAGGTTAAAGTAACCCAACTTGATCCCAAAGTTGAAGATGGTAAGTAAGAATGATCTGGTTATGTTTATGTTTATATACAGAGATCATGTAGATGTTGCTTTCTTGAAATGTTGAGTTCATGTAAAACATCTGAGAACCGCTAACCTCTTCATACCGTGCATTTTAGGCCTTTTCATGTCTTAATTTAGAAGCACCTAAAACTATTTCCCCATTCTACCCACAGAGCAGAACAGCTTCCATGTCTTTTTTGGTTTACTGCGTAGTAGCTTTTAAACTTTGGTAATTGACAGTTCACAGGCTTGAAACTAAGATTACAGAACCAGAAAAAAAGAAACCCCTGTAACTGGTAAAATTTCTGTTTTAGTGAACAATTAGTCTGAAGAAAAATATTTCAGTTCTTTAATAAATATTAAGAATAATATTCATGTTATCATTGACATACTTATGAACATACCCTGATATCTTATTTTTCTTTTATAGTAAGATGAAAAGTAGTATTTTTTAATCCTGTTGCTAATTTAATACATGGTAGTTGAATGCCAAGAGGAAATACTTATTTTTACTAATTGTGTTTAGCACATTTTAAATAAACTTGGTGAGTTTGTGAGGCAGACTGATAGTGGTCAGCGCAGCAATTTTTCTTCAGGCACTCATTTTCAGTATTGAGCATTCTGTATCCAAATACAGTCCAAATTAAAAGCATAAGCTTGTGCTGTTCCAGATGCTTGCATCAACTCACTAGAACAGTGCAGGACAGAAGTAGAAATAAAACAAAGTTGATGTGGAAAGCAACAGTAGTAATGGTTCAGAGTTGTTGCAGACAGACTGGAACTGTGCAGCAAAATGATAATCACTAGATCTGCTTTTGGCTTCCCTTGTGGATAAGGTCCATAATATTTGGTGCTTGTCATACGCTAGTTTCTAAAAGGTAAAAATAAATTAGGAAGTACTGTTTGGGGCTGTAATCTGTTGACCAAGTGGAAGTGAAGGGCAAAATTTTTGCATCTCCTGCATTTGTGTAGAAGGAGCTGAAATCCTAGCAGAACAATTGAGTCCGAGATCTACAGCACAGAAAAAGGCCCTATGGCCCATTGCATCCACGCCAGTCAAAAAAACGTCACATGACTTCTGCAAACAAGAATTTAGAATATATGATCTGTCTTTTACTGAACCCATGGAACCTAAAAGGTGTAGAATGAACATTAAGTTTTTAAAAAAAGTATAAAATATGTAATAGGACTGGAAGATATTAAAATGATTTTCCCTAATGGCTACATGTATAAACCAAACTCACTAGTGTGTTGATTGTCTGGGAGAGTCCAGGTTTCCTAAACTGATCTCGTTTGAGATGGTGGGTGCTGCAGTTGGCCTTGATATCCCTTAGCTAGACAAATAAAGTAGCAATCTGGAGTTTGTTCCTAATTGAAATCTGAGGGAAAAATAAGCATGTCAAGATGTAAAATAAGTTTAGCCATCATGCCTCAAGTTGAACAGCTGAGAGAGCTTTGCCAGTTAAGCATATTAATGCGAAGGATGACTCAGGCAAGGTGTCAGTAGAGGCTGCACTTGTGAAAATGTCAGATGATGTTGAAGAATTGTACAGGCCAGTGTGGGAACAATTAAACATTCGAGATAACCTGTATTTTTTTTCAGTTTCACTGCAAGCTATCAACCTGAGGAAAGCTTTCAAAAGCTCCACGAAGCAGGATCAGCAGTTGTTCTGCCGGTCATCTCTGCCTATTCCTATTGATGATACATACAATATGTGTGACAAGCCTCCACCCCTTCATATCCTAACTCCATACAGGTGGGCGATGCTAACTATCGTGATATAAATAAGGTCGTATTAGCAACCTGTGAGCCTCTACTTTGGAAGTCTAGCAAGAAAAATTGAGTTTTTGTTAACTATTTGTGAGCCATCTTGGTATTCTATCAGGGGACTTTGTTTTCAATGATGGGGACAGAAATGTTCCTTAATTTAATTCTGCTTGCCCCATACCCTTATAGCGCTTATGGCACAGTTCTCAATGTACAGGATGAGCACACTTTTTTGGTAAGATCTTAGACGTAGTGACAATACTGTACATTACAATTTTACTAATTTTCAACATTTTAATTATTTTTTTAGAAAGGCACATGATGGTTTCAAATAAGTTGCATGATACTTCAAAACAGAATTATAAGTGATTCAGGTTATTATATCTGAAAGGATAATTTCTGGTCATTTGACAGCAGTTATTTATGGTCTGTTACCTGAAACGTCTACATTGGAAACTTACTGAGTTTTGCAAATCACCTGCAGCCTTGGTCTTTTGGGAAGCTATTCAGCCAATTTTTGTTTATGTCCTTGGATATAGAATGACCTATTATAATCTCCTCTTTGCAGTCGTTTAAAGAAGCACAGGGCATTCAAATTTAATTCTTGCAAATCTCCCTATGGACCAGAATTTGTTTGGAAATGTGGAACAGCTTGTTTCATCCTCCAAGTGTCCCAAAATTCTTGAATTAGTTGTCATGGAAGTAAATATAGTGACCAGTTTGTGCATACAAGTTGTCAAAAATTTGAGTAGTCAGTTTAACAGTTCTGAGAGGTGAATCCTGCGGAACAATATTAGCCAGGATACCAAGCTTGCCTTTGTCTTTTACCATAGTCTTTAAAGTGACCTAAGCAGGCTGATGAGGCTTGAGATCAATATACTATTGAAACAATTACACCTCCAAGACGACAGTAGATCTTTCGTGGTCTGTTGAAATGAAACGTGGCTGCTCAAGCTTTTGTCTGATAGGAGATAGTAAGAACTGCTGATGCTGGAGTCAGAGATAAGTGTGGAGCTGGAGTAACACAGCAGGCCAGGCAGCATCAGAGGAGCAGGAAAGTTTGACATTTTGGGTCAGGATCCTTCTTCGGAACAAGTCAAAAAAATTCATGGCTTGTCCTAATTGCTTTGTCTTTACAAGTTCTATCATTACTTTTGTAATCTTTTGATTTCCTTGTTACAGAGAGGATGGAAAAGACAGTCTTAAGTTTTACACTGATCCTTCCTATTTCTTTGATCTCTGGAAAGAAAAAATGCTGCAAGATACCAAGGAAATAATGAAGGAAAAGAGGAAACACCGGGTACTGTTTTAATTTTTCATTCTTGAATAATGGTGAATGTCTAATTTAGAACTGAAATTTTATGATTCACTTGAGTTGCTCTTGTAATATTTTCATTTTGATGTATCTTGCCTTGACCAGTTGGTGGTGCCAATTAAAAATGATGGTAACTTGACAGTCTAAGCTGCTGAATTTATAATACAATGACAGGTATAAACTGCACGCAGAATCTGTCAATGGGCAATGACTTGCAATGTATTGTAAAGAAGCCATTTTCCGTTTAGCTTGTAAATAGTGATTTCAATGCTATTGCCTTAAATCCAGAATGCAGGCAATTATGCTGTGAGTCTCTATTGTCAGTTAATTAGCTGTGGCTCTCTGCTCGTGTTAATATGTTGTTAATAGAACAATGCTATTTGCAATAATTTAGTTATGTCTTCAAGAAAGATGTATTTTAAAAGAAAAGAAAAATCACTAAGTATTGTCAGTGTTAGTGGGGCAAGGAGGAGTTTCTGAAAGTCCAGAAGGGAAAGGTGCAAACTGAAGTTTGTACTCAACTTTAGATTCACTTTAAAACTCCTTGTAAATCTGAGACTTTTGCAGTCTAATTCAACATATGGCCATTGGTATATGAAACAATTGCATCAGTGTCAAATTTGACTCTAAGGTTATGAACAGCTGAAGGAGAAAGCAGAGCTAACGAGTACTACTTTCATACAACAGACACCTTCTCTAACTTAGCTTGTACCCCTTAGAAAATATCTACAATATGTTTATAGTCTCTGATCTGCCTTTTTGAGCCTATTTTTCTATTTCATCTATTACTAGCTCATTCTAGTTTAGGGGACCTGGTTCGTATCTTATTCGAATTGTATTTATCCAGGGCCCTGTAAGCAGAAGTAGCCTTAATCTTTCTTAGAACCTCAAACAGCAGATCTCATGAGGCCAACATTTTGGATTGTGCACTAATTAATAATGTGGTAAATTTATCAATTTTCTGTTTAGGTACTAAAAGTATGTGGAGTACTTTGCAATGAGACCCTATAAAAATGTCGAATAGGTGTGTACTTTAGCTGAAGATCTAAGCTTTAAGTTACAAAGTGCTGCATTTAAAAATGCCAGTCAGATTGGTTAAATCTTGCAAGATTTGCTAAAGTCCATGCTGAGTAAAGCATGTTCTAGTAGAAGTTGCTAGAGATAAAAAATGACACAATTCCTGTTTTGACGTTTCTTGCAAACGGACCAGCTGCCTTGTGCTTTGGAAAGGGGCTGGGGGGTAGAATTATTGTGTATAGAGTTCAAATAGCAGTCTAAAGGGCTCTTTAATCGTTTGAATCGTGTTTATCTAGGCCCCTATGCAATGAGCTCTTAATTAAAAGTGAGTGGTTAATGATTACCAAACATTTCAATGTGTGAATTGTTTACAAAACTGGTGTACGGAACGTACAGTCATGACTTCTGTTCCATATATCTTGTCCTCAAAGTATTAACAAATAGACACACAAAAGTACAACAGAGATACTGAGAGTAACTGAACAAAACTATGGCAAGTGCATTTCAGCTTCGTCAAGTGTGAGGTCATTCACTTTTATCTTAAATGAAAGAATGGGATATTTAAATAAGGAAAAGCTAGAAATCGTGGAGTTCCAAAGAATGTTGGCTGGAGGGTTTCGTGTTATGACTGGAGCTGATGGTCTGACTGGACAAGTCAGATATCAGGATGAGACCTAGCTTGATGGATTTTTTTTCAATGTAATTTAGTTAGTGATGGTCATTTACTGAAACATTCACACGAGGCTGCAGAGTTTCTGGAACAACAGAACAGAAATCTGTTACACAAAAGTGGTTAGCACTCCTGCCTCACGGCGCCAGGGACCCGGTTTGATTCTCGCCTTGAGCAATTGTCTCTGGAGTTTGCACATTCTCCCCATGTCTGCTGGGTGCTCCTGTTTCCCCTCTCAGTCCAAAGATGTGCAAGTTAAGGTGTATTGGCCTTGCTAAATTGCCATAGTGTTCAAGGATGTGTAGATTTGGTAGGTTACAGGAGAAAGGTCAAGGGATGAGTCTGGAGGTGATGCGCTTCAGATGGTCGGTGTGGACTTGTTGGGCCACAGGGCCTGTTTCCACACTAGGTGTTTTATGAACACTTAATATCTGATTTTAGCTTAGGAAATCTAATCTCTTGTTATCCTATACCAAAACAAGCAAATGACCTTCATTGTTTACCCCACTTGTCTTAAATCACCAGAGTTTTTTAAAAAAAAGTCAACTTTCTATTAACATTTGAGGTGGTCTGTTTCTCCAACACACTAGATTAGGTCACTGCTCTGGAAGGAATGTTTGTGGGTTTTTTTTAAAGCCCCTTCACAAAAGTACCCACTTAAGTCACTATTTTAAAACCAACAGTCTCAATGATATTTTTATTACTATATTTAAATCACTCCCCTTTGAGTTGGTGGATTCAAGAACACATTTAAATTCTGAGTAGGAATAGAAATCTAAATGACTGATGGAATGCCCACTTTTGTCTAGAGGATCAAAATAGAAACTGACTCTTGTCAGTTTCAATAGTACAAAGTCTTGGTTAGATCAGACTTGGAGTTTTCGGTACCATGCCTTGGGGTGACCAAGTTTTACCAGAACAATTTAACCTTTGGATTACAACTGAGAGAGATTACACAAACAAGGTAGTATTCCCTGGAATTTAAAAAAAAATTAGAAGGTGATTTCATCAAAGTTTGCATGATATTATGGGAAGGGAAACTGCTGACTGGAGAGTCTAGGACATGGACCTGGCTCTAATTTTTTTAAACTTTTAGGAAGAAACCATTCTGAGTATCAAGAGTGATAGAAGTTTGAAGTTCTCTTCCACAAATGATATTGATGCTAGATTGATTATTAACTTTAGATTGGAAATCTTTTATGAAAGTGTATCAGGGTATGGGGCAAAATTAGATAATGGAGTTGGGTCATAAATAGCCAAATAGGTTAGACATCAAAAGGCTGCCTCCTTTGCTGCATCCCTACTCTGGTCTCGTGTTTTCTTTTAACAGTTGCTTGTAATAATAGGCATTGGTAATGACTGATGTCAACACAAGAATAGTATCACAGTAAGAACACAGCTTGTATGCTTCAGTAAGCTGCAACATGAAATAAAAATACCCCATACTGTAAATACTCTGATCAAGCAGAAATTGTGGAGAGAAAAATATTTTGGGTAAATAAACCTCTCTCAGAACTGTGTGAATGTACTTGAGATTGGAATTTAATTTTTGTAAGATCCTACAAAACATCAAAATACATCTGTTGCTATTCTGACTTTATCTCTAGAAAGAAAAAAGGGATGTTTCAAATAGAGGAAATTTGAATCCACGGAAAATTAGGACCAGAAAGGAAGAATGGGAGAGGTTGAAAATGGGCAAGGAATTTGTGGAAGTGAAGTCTGCTGCAGAAGAAACTGGGTAAGTTTTGCCGTATTGAAAGAATCTAATATTTGGACAAATAGTGCAACAGTAATTATCTTGAGAGTTCTTGATTTTATAATATATACAAATAAAAATTTGGTGCCAGAGATTCTCAAATGAATATAGTTCATACTATATTAAATTTTACAATGGTTAATATTAGAGTACACAGGTGAAGCAGTACACCCCAAATACTGAAATAATTTATTTGATGTGTAGGTATTTTTAATGAAACAAAGGAAAGTTTTTGTTTTAAATGTCACAATTTTCCCCCTGACCTTACACTTTCAAAAAAATGCAAGCTCCATGGGCAGGTAACAAAACCAATCCAGACAATTAATTCTAATTGCAGGAAAGAGCTTTTGCACAGATTTATAGTTGATAAATTTAGTGCCAGTGATCCATCTTGTATGCTTGATTGCTGCAGCAGGACCATTTCAATCTTTATAAAAAAAACTTGCTTCATATAATTGCTCTGCAAAAGACTTAATTCAAACTAGTTGTTGATGTGCTATAGACAGGTGAAATGGGCAGACAGATGACTGATTCAGTTAAGTGTAGAACAAATCCAACCCAGTCAATTACCATCCCATTAGTCCACTAGCCATGTGCAAGTGATAGAAGGTTGTCACTCATGCTTATTTACTCACACTCCTGACACTCAGTTTGGGTTCTGCCAGCTCCTGACCTTGCCCCAAACATGGACAAAAGAACTGATTTCAAGAGGTGATGGTGATTGCTGTTGACATCAAGACGACAGCATTTGTATGTGTGTGTGTGAGAAATTGAAGTGACCCAACAAAACTAAAGCGAATGGGAATCCGGGAAGCTCTTCACTTGGAGTGCAAAAGACATTGTATTTGGAGGTCAATCATCTCAGCTTGAGGACATTCTTGTAGGAATAGCTCAAGGTCATGTCTTAAGTCAAACTCTCTTCACCACAGAAATAGTAGGAACTGCAGATGCTGGAGAATCCGAGACAACAAGGTGCAGAGCTGGATGAACCCGGCAGGCCTAGGAGCAGGAAGGCTGACGTTTCGGGCCTAGACCGTTCATCAGAAAAGAGTCTAGGCCCGAAACATCAGCCTTCCTGCTCCTATGATGCTGCTTGGCCTGCTGTGTTCATCCAGCTCTGCTCCTTGTCTTCACAGCTGTTTCAGCAACAATTTTTCCTTCCATCACAAAGTCAGAAGTGGGGAAGTTCTCCAATTGCACAACGTTCAGTAATGTTTGAGATTCCTCATGCTGCATGTGGGCACAGGCTGCTTCAGTTAGATCTGAACAACGTCCATGCTTGGGTTGATGAGTGACAAGTAACATACAAACAGCATATGTGCCAGAGGGACCACCTCCAACAAGACAATCTTACCAATTTCCCTTCATATTCAACGCATTATTCATCAACTGAAACCTCCCACTATAAACATCCTAAAGGGTACCATTGACCAAAAACTGAACTGACCAGTCAACTACTGTAGCTACAAGAGCTGGTCAGAGGCTGTCAATGCCGTACTAAGTCACCTCTTTACTCCCAAATCCTGTCAACCATCTAGAAGGCTCAAACCATGCGTATATTGAAATACTGTCTGCTTGTATGCATGAATTAAACGACGATGCTCACACCTTTTACACCATCTAGATTTAAGCAGTCTGCTTAGTTAGCACCACCTTCAACATTCCCACCAATGATGCATGGCAACAGAAATGCACGTGTTTCAAATGATGCACTGCAGAAATTCACCAAGGCTGCTTCAATAGCTCCGTACAAACCCAACACCTCCAGCACCTAGAAGGACCAGAGTAGATACAGCATTATCTGCAATTTCCCCGTTGAAACTATGTTGCCATTCCTTCACTGTAACGGGATCAAAATCTTGGGGCTGGCTTCCTAATAGAATTGTGATTTACCTATCCTATAAGGAGTACAGCAGTTCAAGAGACAGCTCACTACTGCCTTCTCAAGTTATAGGAGTGGTCATCACCAGATAGGCCAGCATTTATTGCTCTCTCATCACATCAGAGACTAAATAAAAGAAAAATTCATCACTGGTGACTGGGAGGGTCTGAAAAGGAGTGACCAAGGATTGTGTTAATCAGTAGGACCAATGTAACTGTTATGAAACAGCAGTATTGTCTTACAGATTGCTGATGTTGAGGCAGAAATGGGTGTGCTGTTCTGGTTACACATTCTCTCCAGATGTGATTGATTTCTAATGATTAGCTTACCTTTCAACAGAAGCAAAACTCAACATTTTCCCACTGACAATGTTGTGCGATGGGAAACAATTATAATCTGTTGCCTGCATTTTTTTCTGAATTTTGTCCTAAGCTTCCACCAAAACTTTGTATTCATATATCAGCTGCTGAAAAATTTAAGACTAATTCCTGCTGCCACTCTGGCTGAGATCATTGAACACAACACACGAGGAGTCTGTGGTTTTAGAAGAAGGGAGCATTGGATAATTTAGGATCCAGATTTCTTTTCTATGCATTTAAGTTCCTGGTATTTCCATTTAAGTTGGATATAACTAGTTTTAAGATATGATACCATAGAATGGCAATTATGTATTGTGAAGTTTGTATACCCTGAACTGAAATTTAAATATCCTGACTGCTGATGAACAACATTTTTAATTAATAGATTTGTGGGTGAATATATTGTTTTACAGACCTAACAGCAATGAGATCTACCCTAATGGAAGTATAGGTTCAGATGGAAATGAAGAACTTGTTTATAGAACTCATGGAAATTATCGTGATTCAATCATTCCACCACCTCCAGCATCACCAGGGACTGATTTACCTCCACCACCACCTGATTTTGGGTAAGATGAATTAACTTTGTGCTAATTTACATACTCTTCACAGATATTTAGAAACATAAAACTATGTAGTTGTGCACTTAACCAGGATATCTCGAGCATGCATTGGCGATGAGAGATTTGGTCACAATTATTTATCTAAGTGCAATTTAGCTGAGATTTTCTGCACTCCAAGAAAGGACCAGAAAGTTTTGTGAAGGAACTGTCTTTGTTGTGCTACTTGGCAATAACACCCTGTTTTAATGCTTCCTTGCATAACTTCATGAATTCGATGGAACTGAACAAATGTAAACACATTTCATAATTGTTAGTTATGCTACTCGAGAAAAGAAGTATTTCACATAGAGTTCCATTTTTCTGCAACCTAAGAAAACCTATGAATGTATAATATTTCGAATGCTTACTGCATCAAAGCCATGGTCGAGGCAGTTTACCTGATATTACTTGTAGGTGCATGTGAATTATTATAATTTTCAGCTAATTTTTTTTTGCCTTTCTTATAGCTATGCCATGGATATGCAGAAGGATTCTTCAAGCCATAAAAGGATTAGCTTTGGCAGCCCAACTATTCCTCCTCCAGCACCACCCCCTGGCCCACCTTTAGGAGTTGGAACTGCTGCTCCTCCAGCCCCTCCTCCACCGCCACCATTCATGGCACCCGAGGGACACTTGCCTCCTGCTGTCCCACCTCCACCCCCTCCCTCAATGCCTCCAATGCAGTTTAATCAGAATTTCCATGGTGTTGATGCCCCATCTATGCCGCCTCCTCCACCTCCAACTGATCAGTTCCCTGCTGCTCCTGTTCCATTTGTATCCTCCTCCTCTGGAGCAGCTGGCCCTCCTCCACCCCCTCCCCCTCCACCACCACCTGGTCCTCCTCCGACTGGTCCTCCTCCACCTGCAGACTCATCAACATTATCCTTTAGCAATGGCCCACCGCCACCTCCATCATTGGAGCCAAAACCCAAAGCGTCTTTGCCACCAGTGAGTGATGCTAGGACCGACTTGCTATCAGCTATTCGGCAAGGTAAGGCAGTTTATTTTGCTTTGATTAGTTGCATAAGGGGAGCATAGAATGGTTGTAATTTGCTTTTCATCCAACTGCATAAAATTGCTGCCTTTGAATTGTTGCAATTTTTTTGCTGAGGTTCATTGTTTTCCCCATGCAACTAGTGCGTAATGTCCAGGAGGACCCAGGGATTGGTTAGCCAGTACTCCAACAATTTGCTAAGTATCATTTCCCCAAGAGTTCCTTCTTCCTGTTTCCTGATTTACAGCTGCTTTTGTGTGATGGTACTATGGCTTTAGGAGATCCATTTTGTCCCCTTCCTTTTAAAAGGAAAGTTTTAAAACAGAGGTACCGAGATGTCTGTTGAAAACTCGTAAACTAAACAGTTTGAGAGGCCCTGGATTTTTTTCAAAAGTTGTAACAATAGAACCAGCCTGAATGGGTATGGTCAAGCTCCCACAGAACCAGGATTTTTCGATTCTTAGTTTTTCAGTAGCAGTTATCGCTGGGTCAGTTAATGCAATACATCTCTTCCTGCTATCCTGAGTTCTCTTGATGTTTTTTCCCTTCTGGGTTGCGGTTGCGGTTGCAATTGCATGTGAGACAATCCGTTTTCTGACTTTACTTTTTGCCGTGGGTGCGTTTATGGGATGTTACTGTATTGAAACAGTTAGTTTAGTAGCTAATTTATTGTTCTGTTAAGTTTTCCGATCCGTTACTGCTAAGCCAATTCTTTTTATTCTTTGGTGTTTTAACTAGCATGTGTGAATAAAGTGTGTTTTGCTTCAAATTTGGTCGTTTGACCAATTGAATTGCATCTGGAATGCAGCACTTGACATTTACATTTAAAATAGCATTATCAACGTTATTCCTATGGTCTTGAAAGAAGTGTCTGCTGGGGTCATTGCTTCAATTTTAGACTTCTAAAATTCCCTAGCGTCTGTGAAGGTTTCATTTAAATGGGAAATAACAAAAGTAACTTGTTTATTCAAAAACTGTGGGAGGCAAAAAGCTGGAAACTACAGACCAGTTATTATAACACCTGTCATAGGACGGGTATTAGAAGCTTTATTAAGGATGTTACAGCAGACCACTTGAAGCTAATCAGTCAGAGTTAACATGGTTTTGTGAAATAGAAATCACATTTAACCAATTAATTGAACTTCTTTTAAGGAAGCAGTATACGCACAGTTGCTCAATGGTTAACGTTTTTGCCTCACGCAGTGCCAGGAACCCGGGTTTGATTTCAGCCTTGGGCGACTGTCTGTATGGAGTTTGCACATCTTCCCATGTCTGTGTGGGTTCCCTCCGGATGCTCCGGTTTCCTCCCACGGTCCAAAGATGTGCAGGTTAAGTGGATTGAACATGCTAAATTGTCCTGTAGTGTCCAGCGAGGTGTAGCTGGGTGGATTAGCCATGGGAAATGCAGGGTTACAGGGATGTGATGGGTCGGTGTGGACTCGATTGGCTAAATGTACTGCTTTCACGCTGTAGGGATTTAATGATTTTAGATAAACTGGAACCAATGGATGTACTTGAATTTCCAGGCTATTTGGTATAAAAGTTCTTGGTCTGAATAAAAGATTGGCTAGCTGGCTGGAACAGTAGCTTAAAGAATGACTAGACTCAGGTTGTTTTTTCCTTAGAACAAAGGAGTCTGAGGGAAGATTGAATTGAGGTGTACGGAACAATGTGGCAATTGAATTCAGTGGACAGGGAAATATGTTCTCCCTCGTGGAGATGTCAGTTGATGGGGACACAGATTTAAGGTGATCAGTAAAAAGGGACATGAGGAAAATCTTTCCCCCAGAGGTATTTGCTCCGCAGTTTGGTCGTTGATGTAGGGAACCTCAAGTCACCGAAAAGGAACCTGCAACTGCACCTGAAATGCTGCAAGGCTACAGACCAGGTGCTGGAAATTGGGATTAAAATGGGTGGCTAGTTTATTCACCTGATGCAGGTTTGTTAAACTGAATAGCCTCATTGTGTCATATAGGTCTACAGCACAAAAAGTTGGCCCATCAAGTCTGTCCCAGTCAAAAACTAGCTTTCCTGCTCATCTGATGCTGCTTGGCCTGCTGTGTTCATCCAGCTCTACACCTTGTTACCTAATTATTCTCATCTTGTTTTCCGGCACTTGTGCTATAACCTTTCTATGGTTCTGAGGTTAAAAGATGATGATTAGGCCCTAATAACAACAACCTGAATCAGTCCTATTAACAGGCCATTTGTAGACTATTGCAGTGTGTGAATGGACAAAAGGTGAAATATCAGTTGAAGATTTTAATTGGTACTATCACTCACTTTTGTGGAAATAACTTTCAGCCTCCGCTTTCCTTTCATAATACCATTGTTGCATTGAAAGGTAAACTCACCTGTGTATTTCAGACAGTGAAACTAAGTACTCGGACATAGTGTGTGAGGTGAAGTAGATATAAATCTTTTGAGCTGAATGTTCTTGGCCCTGAAGAGGGGGGGCAGCCATGTTGGGACTGCACCCTGAAGCTAGCTTGCCACCAGAGAATGTTCCCACCCATGGCTGGCTGCCCATTCCAGGGAGGCAGGCACATGCTTGATGTGAGGTGTTTATTGGACCTCTGGGTAGATTGCAGTGGATGGAGTGCTGCTAGTGTGTGGGAGTTTACCTGAGTTTATTATCCGTGAGTTCCTCAGATTTATTAATTTTTGAATGTCATTTTTGTTTGGCTTCATAGCATTAGCTCTCACTTTGAACAGTGAAAAAGTTGACAATCAATTGACATCAGTTTGCAGAGCTGCTAATATAATCTGTCCCCAATATGATATGAAGTTACTTCTCAGTCCCCAGCATTAGAGTGCTCTTTCATTTGGCCTTTGATCTAAAGCTGGAAACATGACTTGGTCCATTAACTAACTTATTTTGGAAGAATGAATGTTGCATCTGAATCCCATTTTAATTGTTTCCTAGGCTTCCAGCTTCGCAAAGTTGAAGAACAGCGTGAACAAGAGGAAAAGCGGGATCGGGTTGGAAATGATGTGGCCACTATCTTGTCTAGACGTATAGCAGTTGAATATAGTGATTCAGAAGAATCAGAGTTTGATGATGAAGAATGGTCTGACTGAGCTGGACTATGCTGACACATGAATCACCAGCTGCCAGTGGTCTTCTGTTTGAAAAACCAAACTTTTTCCAACATTGCCTTCACACAGATGTTGTATTCTAATGTATTATTTGCACAGATTGTGAATCTGTGTTGGGAAAATGTCAGACAAGAGAACACTTGGCATTATTAAGGAAGGCTTATAATATATTAAGTGCCACATTTACAAAGCAGTAAAATAGACTTGTCCCTGTAGGGTGGTTCATATGCACTGCATGTAGATGCATTTTTCCTCATTGTTGACATGTGCTAAAAGCCACTGGATTACTAAAATGAAAATAGCTTGCTGCCTTATATCAGACTGTAATTGCAGTGCGCATCAGCCAACAAGTGAAATTATATTTATCGGCCAATATTTTTTCTATATAAATTATAGTATTCTACCTTTTAATCAAATAGTGTAGTTAGAATGATGAAATTTTATAATCTGCTGCACTTCACTAAAAAAATATAGAAGCAGTAAAGTTTAGAGTCCATATACGTTTGCTAGTGCTAATTGGGTTTATATCTTTTAAAATGCTCCTATTGACTTAAATCATGCCAATGTGTCTTGTGTGTAATTAACATTGTCACCAAAGTGCTTTATTGAACAGTTTTAAAGGGAACATATGTAAATCTCTCTAGTAGGAATCTTCAAGCCTTAATGATTTTCTTTTTTAACATGACAACATGATCCTAAAATAAATAAACTTGTTTGTATTAATTACCTACAGTCCACACTGGTAATTGTCCACAAAGAAGCCAATAATGATAGACCAAAAATGGCAGTCAGCCTATGAGGGAATTGTAATTTCATCTTTGCTTTGTTTATATCGTTTGTAAGTGTTTCTGCATTTTGCTTATGCAATCTTCAGTGAATGGATGTGAGGGGAAAACTTCACTGACCAACTATGCAAATTTAGTGCTGCTTAAAACTAACAATATTATGTACAATAACGTAATTAAGTGTTCAAAATTATCTTGATTTAAACTTAACAGATTATTTTTCAGTGTTTTTCTGATAAATTTTACAATCCTACATCATAGGGTATTTGGGTTAATGATTTTTTATCACTTCCTCCCCTATTTGTTCTTATCTCCCTGAGGTGGGCAATTTAATTTGATACCTGGAGTAACTCCCAGTAATTTCTATAGAATTTTTCAAGACCAAACAGCAGAAATGCTCACAGGAATGTATTTAATTAGAACTGTTTGCTACTATGGATCATGTGCAAAGTTTGCTATGGGCTTCCTGAAGACTGTTAAAATAAATGATGACCAAACTATTGTACTTAATTTGAGATTTATTTTAATTTGTGCATTATTATCTTTGACATTTGTATTTGAATCATGATTGCACCATTGCTTTGGATTTTGTTTTGAACCTTGGATTTTAGTAATGTGAAGCTACATTAAACAAGTGCTGAAAACAGTTAGCTTGCAGTGTACTCCACATGGCCACAAATGATTGTGATCAGTTTCCAAAGCGAAGAGTGAGTAAAGGTAATTTAAGTAATTGGAGCATACCGTGTTGTGATTTTTCTATAAAACACAATCTGGGCTGGCATCCAGTTTATTACAGCAAGAATATTGCCCTGCCAAAATTTGTCCTTTGGATTGGTTGTCAGCCAGAAGTTTGTTTTTTTTTCTGTTTTTTTAAAAAAAAAAATCCTATTGCTATTTGCAAAATAGCAAGAATTTTCCCACTGTCCTGGCTTTTTTTAATACTTCAACCAGTGTATCTGAAGTGATTGATTTTGTATCTCATTGTCCTGGATAGTGTGAAGCTTCTTGAGTGTTGGAGTTACACTCCTGACTTGTGCCTTGTAGATGGTGGGAAAGGTTTGGATCTCAGAAGGTGAGTTACTCATTGCAGGTTTCCTAGCTTCTGACCTGCCCTTCTAGCCACAGTGTTTACATGACTATTCCATTCAGTTTCTGGCCAATGGTAACTCTCAGGGTGTTGAAGTGAGGTATTCAGTGATAGTAATGTCAAGGAGCAATGATTAGATACTCTTGATGCTGACAGCCATTGCCTGGCATCTGTGTGACATGAATGTTACTGATTATTGCAATAGGATCTGTGTAATTAAAGTAATTAGATCCTGATTATTCATGCAATAACATCCTGATTGTTGATGCAATTGGCAACTGATTATTAATGTAATGGTACCTTGAGGTGCTCAGAATTGGGTACAATACAACAGCTGATACTGAACCAGTGCTGTGTTTTTGCTGTCTATTCCAGTGGATGAAAAGTCGTCTTAACCTGTCCTGCCAACTTGAAATGTGTGTACATGTTACACTTTTTTTCTGCAAAACCTTTTTGCTTTTCCTAAATTCACTGCCAACCCTGAACCATTTTCCTTTTCCATACAAGACAATGGATCAAATGCTGGAAGATGGGATTAGAATAGTTTGGTGGTTGTTTGTGACTGGCACAGATGCGATGGGCCAAAGGGCCTTTTTCTGTGCTGTAGTTCTGACTCGTGTGTGGGACCTTTGTATGTATATTGCCTGTTATATTTACCTTCTACATACGCTTCAGATCAATTTCAATCATAGAATCCATACAGTGTGGAAACAGGCCCTTCAGCCCAACAAGTCCACACCAACCCTTGGAACATCCCACCTAGACCCATCCCCCTATAACCCACCTAATCTACACACCCCTGAACACTACAAGCAATTTTACCATGGCCAAACCACCTAGCCTGCACGTCTTTGGACTGTGGGAGGAAACCGGAGCACCCGGAGGAAACCCACGCAGACACGGGGAGAATGTGCAAACTCCACACAGACAGTCGCCCGAGGGTGGAATTGAACCCAGGTCCCTGGCGCTGTGAGGCAGCAGTGCCTAGCCACCGTGCCGTCCACCAATAATTTAATCATGGAAGACAGTTATGTCGATCATGTCCTTTTATCAAAAAAGGATTTATTGAAATGGCTTCAGTAAAGCTAATAATCTGAGTGTTCTGTTGAAAATACCAACATGGTGAAATGTACTAAAATTGATTAAACCTTCAAGAGTTTTGGATGTGGTGGAGAGATAAAAATGAGTTGGCTAAAGTTTTTTTAAAATTTAAAGCCCCACAAAATCACCCAATTATCTAACTTAGAAAGAATGCAAGCACTGCCTGGGCAATGTTAATTATTAATGAACCTGTTTGGGCATGGGATATTCCAAGGCAAGTGGGATTTGAACCCAGACCCTCTGGTTTAGAAATAGGGTCTGGGGGTTCCCCTGAAGAAGGGTCACTGGACCCAAAATGTTAACTCTGATTTTTTTTTTCTTCATAGATGCTGCCAGACCTGTTGAGCTTGTCCAGCGACTTCTGTTTTTGTTCCTGATTTACAGCAGTTCTTTTGGCTTTTCCCATCACCTGTGCCAATTTTCACCTATTCACCATCACCCAGTAAGTCCCCTGTTTTACTCATGCAGTGCCAGTTTAGGGCAATTCAGCTGAAATATTTGTAGCCTTCCAGAATAATCTGCATCTAGTTCAATCTGATTTAATCAATAGACAGTGTTAATGCTAACCAGTGGGTTCCTTGTTAGCTGGATTTTATTATCAACCTGTTCAGACATGTCTTGGGCAGGTGGGACTTGAAACCAGGTCTTTTGCTCGAGACACTACCACTGCCCCACAAGACCCCTTTTTTGGTAGCTGGCAGTGCCAAGGTTGGTTATAGAAGCGAGTAAACTCATTGGAAGTTTTAATTTCCCTAACTGAGTAAGTTAGACAAAAGAGAGCCAGATGTGATCCATTTGGATTTCTGAAAGGCCTTTGACAGTATGTTGTACGAGAGGGTTTTGTAAAAATTTGTTCATTCACAGGATGAGGGTGTCACGGGCTAGGCCAGCATTAACTGCCCTCTGGGCAATGAGGGATGGACAATAAAGAGTCAACCACATTGCTGTGCGTCTGGAGTCACGTGTAGGCCAGGCCAGGCAAGGATGCAGTTTCCCTCCCTAAAGGAACATTAGTGAATCAGATGGGTTTTTTTCTGACAATTAACAATGGATTCATTATCATGATTAGACTCTTCAATTCCAGATATTTACTGAATTCAAATTCCAGCATTTGCTGTTGCAGGATTCAAACCCAAGTCCTCCGAACACCTGGGTCTCTGGATTAACAGTCCAACGATAATAGCACTAGGCCATTGGGAGGCAATGTGGTAAATAAGATAAGAGCTCATGGTGTTAGGCGCAAGATACTGGCATGGATAAAGGATTGGCTGACTGACAAAAGGCAGAGTGTGGGGATGAAGTGTCATGGCAACTGATAACAAGTGGAGTTCAACTGGGCTCAGTGTTGGGACCACATCACATTTATATATTAATGATCTGAACAAAGGAATTGAGGGTATTGTTAGGTTTGCAAATACACAAAGGTAGGTGGAGGGGCAGGTAGTGTTGAAGCAGGGAAGACTGCCAAAGGACTTCGACATACTACGTGAGTGGGCAAAGAAGTGGCAGATGGAATAAAATTTGGGGAATGTGTGAGGTTATGAACTGAATTAGGAAGAATAGAGATCAAGACTGTTTTCAAAACAGGGCAAGGCAGTGCGAATCTAAAGGACAAAGGGACTGGTTCAGGATTCTGTTAAGGTTAACATGCAGGTTCACTTGGTGGTTAGAAAGTCAAATGCAATGTTAGTATTAATTTCAAGAGGGCCAGAATACAAGAGCAGAGATGTACTGCTGAGACTGTATAAGGCTCTGGTCAGACCGCATTTAGAATATTGAGTTGTTTTGGGGCCTGTATCTAAGGAAGGATGTGTTGGAATTGGAGAGTGTCTGGAGGAGTTTTACAAAAATGATCCTGGGGATGTAGGGCTTGCCACATGAGTGGCTAAGGATGCTGGGTCTGTATTTGGAGTTGAGATGGATGGTGTGGGGTTGGGGGGTGCTGGTGTTCTAAGTGAAACTTGCAGAACTGAGTGGCCATGATGGGCTGGACATGGAGAAGATGCTGCCATTTGTAGGAGAGACTGGCACTCCAAGGCACAGCCTTGGAGTGAAGGGATTACATTTTAGAACTGAGATGAGGAATAACTTGGGTTTGCTTTGTATTAGACCATCCCGTGAGTGTGACTTTGCCCATCAAACAACTTTTAACAGGGTACACAACACCTAGTTATTTGTTTAATTTCTATTTCTTACTTAAAATTGGAACATTTTACAATGATTCATGTCGGCTACATTGATTAGGTCATGGATACCCTTTGTAAATTCGGAGCTGAACTCCATCTGCACCCCTGAAGTTGCAAATCAGCCAGAGGTGGTGGCTCTATGGAACTCGTTGCTGCGGAGGACAAATCATTCAGTGTATTTAAGACAGAGGTTCTTGATTGTTAGGGGGAATCAAGGCTTATGGGGAGAAAGTGGGAAGATAGAGTTGAGAAACATATTAGCCATGACTGAATGGCAGAAAAGACTCAATGGCCTAATTCTGCTCCTATATATCTTACGATCTTAAGTGAGCAAGTAATGCTCTAGAATTCAAGAGGTAACAATCTGATAGTGCCTGGTTAGCAGTATTGATATATTAGCTAGAGAGAGAGAGAGACTTTTCTTTTTCTGAAGAATTAGCAACTGAAAACTGCAAAGTTGATGCTGAACAGTAGCCTTCATTTTAAGAATCTTGATTGAGATGCATAGCGCACCTTGCCCAGTAACCTAGCAGCAGCATCATATCCAACAGCTAAAATTAGTGAACACCTTTGCCTAAATCCCTGTTAAAAGAAAGCACTGTTTCAGTATGCACTGCACCCAGTATAAATTAATAAATTACTTTCACTGCAGTCTCCACTGCTATTCCTCATAAAACAAACAACATATTCGTCTTTGTCTTTCCTCAGAGCACTCATATTATTTGCACAATGGTGAATGTGCAATTTTGAAAAGTAGCCCTTATTTTGCTCCATTTTCAGTTATAAATAAACTGAACTTTAGAAAATTGGTTAAAATAACACAGAAGTTTAGACCCAAAAATGCATTTTGCCATTGACATTTTGTACTTTATGCTGTTAAATTGCTTATTTGTAAATAACTTAATTAACAATCTTGGACTTAATTGTGGCAAAGCAGAATAATCCTTGGCATTCCATGTCTAGTTCAGTTTATAAGGAGTCAGATTGTAATTGAGTCTTCTCCTCTGGAGGGCAGCAGTGCAGCATATTAACAACCCAGTGAAAGTATTACCGCTAAATGATTTGATTTGATTTATTACTGTCATGTATACTGAGGTATTGCTTTACGGGCAGGTCGTACTATACAAGTGCATCAC